GTTTGAAACATTCACTATAGTACTCTGACTGCAGTGTGTAACTACAGGCAGTACGCCTGCTCTTCACTGCTTAATACAGCCCCTTGAATGAGATACTGAACAGCCTTTGGAAAGACTAAATCGATAAAGGAAATGCATTCACCCTAAAAAGCTCTTTAGGAATTTAGTTTCTTGACCAAAAAGTTAACAAAAATAATACACTGACACAAAACTAGTAGGATATAGACACTGGCTTTTTAAAAGTGCAAGTGAAGGGCTAATAACAGCCAAATCAGGAATTATGCAAACTCCTTTTTATCTTGCTCTGCTTTTCCTGTTGCTTCATATTTTCACTTGCAGTTCCCATCCAGTTCGAGTCCAGAGCATCAGCTGATAAACATTAGGAAAGCATGCTCAAGCACTCATTGTGGAAGTGGGACACCAGTACAATACAAACATAATGGGTGAAAAATTCCCAGTCTTGAGCCTTTGGTTCCATGTTTGACTTGGTTTTCCTGCTCCCTTTGCAGGCAGTGTGTCTGGGGCTATCATTGAACTGGCAAATGTAGTTCAACAGCAACTGCTTTTCCTCATAATCTGGGCTGTATAATAGCAGTTTTGAGAATCAAAGCTGCATTGTGATGGGTCCCTGCTCACACTACAGCTGAGCCTTGTTTGGCATTTTAAAACCCATCTTTCATCACATCACACTCAGGTTCAGAAATATGTTACTGTATTTGTAGCAAAAAAAATCCATGGTCTCACTTGTTACCAAATCTTTGTAAGCCAGGCCACTGTCAACAACCACCAGCATTTCTCAGGCACATTACAGACTGTTCATCAACTTTCAAATTGTGTGACTTTCATAAACTGAAGGATATAATTTTCAGATATGACAGTAACAAGAATTACCATCTCTCTTTTCTGGTATCGATTTTCAGTATGCATTTTGCCCCCTTTCTATTGATCCATGTGTTTTTCACTTTTAATATTAGACATTGATAGAAGAGCAGTCATGCTAAAGAAGGTCATTTCCCCAGCTGAATGAACCTTTAGGAATTAACTTATCACAGAATTATCTTCATGTAAATGTACTAGTGCATAAAAATATCTAACATGTTAAGAACTCTAGAACTGTAAGAACTGTAGCAATGCACTAGAAAAGTTAAGGTTTGTGAAGCCCTCTGATACTTTTTTCCCTCCAAAATTTTTTATGCACAAATGCCAAATGGAATATTCCTACAACATCTGACATCAAGGTACCTGGTGTTAAAAATCCCATGTCCTTTTCAGTACTGGCTTTTGCCCTGCTAACATTTTCTCTGTGTTCAAAGAAAGGATTCTATTTGATTGAGCCTAAATGAGCTTATCAGATGAAAAAAATCCAGGAAAACAATCATTGTAATGCTTGTATGATCAAATAGCACTGACAGCACTTAAATCTTTAGGTATCAAGTGCTTCCTTCTTCTCTTTCCACTAAGGAAGGCCTGATTAGGCAGTTCAAGTTTCCTGTTCCAAAAATGAGAAACTATTTGTTCTCTTATACCAAGTCTCAGATTTTTTGGCCTTTCAGAATGGAGTGATGGTTAAACTTAAAGGGTCTGCAATTTAACAGTCTCAACACCTCAAAAGAGGTCTGTTACATTAATTTGGATCTCTCACAGCATATCAACTACTTTGCAACACACAAAAAAGTAGTTCTTCCTCTCTCCAACCCTCTTGACTTTGATTTCTTCTAAGTCACTTCCAATATCTGCTCAATACAGTAGGCAATGACAGCTCCAAAAAATGCAAGCAGAAAGATTATACATAGTCATTATTTGACAGAAAAAGCCCAAATTCTGTAGACTGGTACATCACTGAGATGTACAGTTCTGTCCTAAACAGAGGGAAAGTCCTGGTGTTGAGCAGATTCCCTGAAAGAGTAGCATGAGCAACACAGCCCAGCACAGTTAACAGCAAACTAGTTTTGGGGCTGTTTTTGTCAAGCTTGTGCAGCAACTAGAGCCAGGGATCTTGGTCTTCATCTGCAACTCCTTGATGCAACTGTTGCAGTGAGTTACACTCAATAACTTACAGTTACACTCACTGTAAGATACATTTCCTGACATGTCAAGGACAAAAAAAAAAAAACACGCTTAACTTTTATGCAAACTAAGATTAAGTCAGTTAACTGTAAATAGCTCATAAATTAGCATACTCTAATCAAGTTTTAAGTAGGTTAGTATTGTGTCTGAAAGCCTGTTCTGAGTTAGTTGTATCTTGTTAGTGAAGCAACACCTTCAGTTTTTCCTACTAGCTTGTCTTTCTAGTTCTTTTTCCTTCCACAAGAAAGTGTAGAGAAATAACCGAGACTGCTGGTTCTACCTTATTCCCGTACTCCATCACTCAGATCACGTACTGCTTGTGGGGATTCCTAACCTCCATCTGTCCTCAAGCAGGGCTCCCATTCCTCTTAGCTTCTTTCAACTGTTCTTTCCTGACATCAGCCAACATTTTCAGAAAACTCCATCTGACCTCCAGCCACCTTCCATGACCTCATACCTTTTTCCAAAGCTTTCTTCATCTGGCTTGGACTCTAAAGTAGAAATTGAATTGCTACATTCTTCAACAGCTGTAGCAGGTGTGGCTCGTTTTATCTATCCCACAATAGAGGTACTTTCTAAGGACAGATGCAGTTATTCTCTTGCACTCTTCTTAGAAGAAAACTGGCTTACTTGTTTCTAGCAATAGAAGTTAGCAACAAATTCTCCTTAAGACATACAAGCCATACGATCTAGACAGATATACGATCTAGACAGTTCCCAGCAAATGCAAGACTGTTGAAACTCAAGCCTCACAGCAGTAATACCAGGTTACTTGAGTAAGGAGCTCCTCAAATACAGCAAACCAAGCTATCTGTACTTTCCTATATATTTAATGCAAAGAACACTCTAGTAAAGTTGCTTTTTCCTGTAGCTACTTTATCTAACAATGACTACCTAAAGTCTTGTGTTAATCAGTTTAATCAATCAATGTTTTTGAGTCTTGGAAAACAAATTCCCTGTGTTCATGAAGTTGTATTTCTCCTGTGAGCTAATATAATGATACCCTGCTAAGTACAGGTTTTAAGTTCCATAAAAAAAGGGAATGTTACTAGGGAGTATTTTTCATGCTGTAAATAACTTATGAGAATTTATTTAAAAAATATTTTGCTAATACAAATGAAACCATACAAAATGGTAAGCTTTCTTATCCCCACTTAAATATTCAGCAGTAATAGTTTTAGTTTTGTAACAGACTTAAGAGTTAGTATCAACATGGCTTTGTTAGTTTTGTAATTGACAAAAGTGACAAAGAACCCCCCTACCACAGAAAACACCGAAGGAAACTCTAGCTGCAGGACAAAATGTTTTCTACACATTGCTTCTACTCCAAAGCAGTCAAACATAACATTCTCTTGGGTGAATACCTAGTATTGCTTTCCAGACCAGAACTGCATCTGCCCACTTCAATGAAGTGGAAAAAGCTCTGCTCTGGACAGAGCACAGATGCTCTGGTGCACATAAGCCCTTCTGACTCATCCACTTATCAAGTCTAGTTGAGGTTGGGTTGCTTGTTTTGTTGTTTGCGTTTTTTCCCATTCCACCACTGGAAAAAAATAAATATTTTAATCAGAAAATCTGGAACTCTTATATGAGGAGATTCCAGTTGTGCACATCAAGTCTTGCCAATTTCACTCCTCCTATCAGTGTCTGTATTGATTTGAAGGTACCGGGTTTTGATGAAACTGACCTGGTTTTCAGTTTTGGCAAGGCTCACTGATAAGTTTGATACAAGATGTTAACAGGGTTGCTACATATGCACACATCAATTTTAGGTTCACACCAAAGCACTGTGCAGTCAATAAACTATCTTCACTAGTGTGAACGTATCACCTTTGTCCATCATGCACACAATCATGCCAAAGAGCAAAACAATGGTGGCTTAATAGAAAGTATCTACACCACAGTTTAGGCAGAAAGTGAAAAAAATGCACCAGGAAAAGTCTGTATCAAAGGCATCTATTATTTTAGAGAAAATAATAATAAAAAAAAAAATCAGGTTGAAGACAGCATACTTCTCTACTACACAAACTGATGAGTTACTACTACCCCTTTTGTGCATCAGAACATACCCACAACATTCAATGCATTCATATGCAATACTAATTCTACCCTTCAGAAAAAGGAAGGCCAAGGAATATTCTACTTTGTCACAGACATCACCTTTACTGTTTTTCCAAGCATGACAACTTAAGTAAAAAAGTCAGAGCACACAACATTTTGAAGTTCCAGCTACTACTATCTGTGTCCCTTGTGAGAGTACTTTGTACACCTTTTCTGAAAACCCCCCACCCAAAATTTAAGTGGGCTTCAAAACACTTTAGAAAAGAAACAGCAAGTCAGGAGTTAAGTTCAGTTCCATGCCCAGAGTTACACCTTGCAAGTTTCATATCTTCCATTTAATCACTCCAAATCAGAAGCAGTCCTAGTTAATGCCAATTCTTTAGTTCACTTGAGCCCTGCAATACAGGGTGTGGGAGGGAAATATGCTCATTAATAATTTATAATGTTGTGTTAAGGACAAATGCATTAGTGAAGCTTAAGATGCATCTGGTTTACTGGCTACCAGATGATGAGGGCTAAAGTTCTTTTACTTTGGGTGATATTCTGAGAGGCCAAAGTAACTGCAGAGGCAAGATATATGCATGCACCAAGTGTTTTAGCTGGGAGTCAAACACCTCAATGATACACAGCAGTCTATGGAAGCATTCTCTTCCCACTAAGGTGATACTCTAAATACTGCTGCTTGCCAGAAAAGGCTTAAAAAAAATAAAATACTGTAACTATGAATGTCCCAAGAAAAAAAGCTGTTTTTTTTTCAGGTAGGTGAATAGAATGAACAACAATACACATGAAAAGCTTGCATCTTTCACTGACTTATTCACTTCACAACTACTGACAAGACTGATGTACATATTTCCGCACCTGCAATTGTAAAAGCAGATAAAATATTTAATATGTAATTTACAATGTATTTTACCAGCTTGGCATACAGGATGAACAGAATATATCAAAGTAGTTGACAGTTATAGGCTTGTGGAGGCCCTGCAAAAATATTACTTCAGATATCTGCTAATTTAAAAAAAATCAGTTTGCATTTTAGAAGTGATACAATTCAACCTACCACAAAATACAAAGAGCTGCAAAACGTATACCATTCCAACAACAATGTATATAAGTTATTAAATAATGATCTGATTTAAAAGAATATAAATGAAGCCTTTAAGTAGGTCTTTTCTACATGCATATTATTCCTCATTAACGAAAAATATGTATAAAGGCCATTGGTAATTGCTTTGTTAACCACTGTAGAAAATGCCAATTCTCTGGTCACAGATGCCACTAGTTTAGCACTTAAGGTCTCTGCAGTGTTACATGTGATTACTTTTAAATACTGTTAATTCTATTACTCCATTGGTAAAGAACGGGTGACTTGGAATATGGCAGTCTTCATATTGAGAGGGCAGTGATGCACAGTTTTATAATTATCCAGAAGAACAGCACCCTCCACTGCTCTGTACTTGTGGCTCATCATCAATGATCTGTACACCTCGCCTTGCTATTCCTGACTGGCTGGAGCCATTGCCTCTTGCTCTTTCATCCACTTGAGCAGTTTCTATCATTCCTGTAAAGGAAGAAATGTATTAAATGATATTCCACTGCATTTTGACCCAAGAATTTGAGATCTTAATCCATCTGAGTTGCATGCACAAAGTTCAGCAAGAGCAGTTCTATTTATTATGTGGAAGTAAGCACTTCTTAAAGTGATACTCTGGTATCACATGGCATAGCTGTAAGAACATACTTAAATCTTTTTCCCAAAGCACCAAATATCGGCAGCTCATGTTGACTAGGGACACTTTAGATGCTGAGATGCTCTAGAGCAAACAACTTCAAAAGCTAGATTTACCTATCCGTATCAAAAACTTCCTGTTAAGAAAGAAAACAAGAAACCCAACCCACACAGCACCACACCCCACAAGATAAACCCTCAACCTACTCCTCAGACATTCAGGTGAAGTTTTGCTTAAACTCTTGTATCATAAGACAACAATCAATATGACAACTTCCTTGTATTACAACATAACCCTACACTGTGATTTTTAACATTTGCTTAGACTGCTGTGTAAAATTTGCATCACCACAACTTCCAAGTTCATGATTTGTAATTGACATCACTTGAGAAAATCCTTGAAAGAGACTGAAGCAGAGGGTTTGAAGCAGGCAATAGTGAGACCCATCACATGAAGTTTGATTGGAAGTTACTATTTACACAAGTGAAACAGCAGTTAGTGCTCCAACAAATGACATTTTTGGAGTAGAGCATAAAGTTGCAGTATCATAAGCGCCCCATACATCAAGCTCTCAGAGCAGTTACAGTACACAAGTGGCTTGAAGTAGACTCAGATGAAGTAAATTCTTGGGAATAGTTTACATTAAAGCTCCTCTATATGGTTTTAAGCATTAAAGTGAATGAGCTCATTTTGTGAATGAGCTCTTTACCAGCAAACTAGATAATACCTACTTTTACAAAGGTCAAGGAACAGTTCTTCAATTCCTTTGTTCTGTTTAGCTGAAGTATGATAATGTTTTGCTCCAACAGATTCAGCATACCTGTAGGAACAGATACAGAACTCGATTGTACTAAAAGGACTAAAACTTTCTAAGCTATCTTGCATGAATCAAGGAGTTGGTCGCAAAAGGTTTTATTCCAAGTTCAGAGTTAATCTACATGTGCTGCACAAAGCGAATTCTGTGGTTAAAACTGCTGTGATTGATGAAAAACACCAGATGAAATAAAGAAAAAATCATGTTTAGAAATGAAACTAAACTAAAAAAAACTAAATCATTGACTTTAACCATGTACAACTCTCAAATGATGCTTTGGTCAGTAAGGACATTCCAGGACTCTGATACAAACAGAACATTTAACACAGCAGCCAGCTAGGCACTGCTGGTTTATACTGCCAGTTGTTGACACCATCACAAGTTTATTACTCCAGCATAATTCTGCAATGACTGTGTCTATGAGTAATTGGCGTGACTTACGTTTCTGCTTCTTGCACTGAAACATGTCTCTCTTTTTCCAAGTCTATTTTGTTACCTGTTGGAAACAATTCAATCTTTCAAGTCTCTGTACTCCAAAATTACCCTAAAGGAAGTAATCAGGTAATCACTGCAACCCATCATTTTCTTGCAAACTATCCCAGTAAAGATTAACTCTTACACAGCTCTCAATTTGGAACACAATTATACGACTTAAAAATCTGCTTTCACTAAAGCATTTACAGGCAATGAAAAGGAAGTTTTACTTCTGTAGAGATCAAGATAGCTAAATAACTCCATACAAGCCACTGATTCAGCCTTCTGCTTTTCTTTTGTAATTTATTAGCAGCTCATCCATGCTACAGAGACAGTTTTTGTAGGTCATCCTTACATCTATCCTCCTGAAAGTATTTTAATCACTAAATATGACTTTAAATTTAAACCCAGTATTTCTGTTGTGTTCTGTTTGAGCTCAAATACCCAAGTTTTAAGACTCACTCCCCAAGCACTTGATTATGAAAGACAAGCATCCAGGCTATGCCACTGAAAACAGTAGAAAACATGACATTTGAGTACCAACAAAAACGATCATACACATTTGAGGTTTATGTTTCTCTCTGTTGCACTACAGTCTTCAGGTGTCTGTACCATGCACTTCTGACATGGTGTATCATTAAATAGCTATTTTTTTTATATTAACTCTTCAATTCCTCAATGTGATCTACAGAAACTTCTAGATCCAACTGAACTTTAAATATCAAATTAACATAAACTTTGCCACTTCACATGTACAAGCTGTCAAAGCAGTGTTTGGAAAATACTATTAATTAAAAAACATTTTTAATTCAGTCATTAGACTCATGTTAAAAAAAAAAAACAAAACAAAACTTACCTACTATACATAAACAGATCTCATTTCCCAACATTTTTCTTAATTCTTTAACCCAATTTTTTACCTGCAAAAAGAATAAAAGTTCATTCTCACTTGATATACTTACTACTAGCTTAGATATTGTGGAACTGACCGATTTCCTTCATTAATCACTTACTCTAAACTGGAAACAAATGTGTTTAGAGCAACACAGATGGACAAAATATTCTTTATATAGCTACGCATGGCTCTTGTTCAGCAGTTGAAATTAAAAGCAAATGACTTAAATAAAACAGTTCAATTACTCCAGAAATGTAACTCACCACACCTGTGTTAGACCCACTCCAAAGAATACCTTCACTGCATTGGCCACCTTAGGTCAGGCATGAGATCTTTTATTAACAGGCACTTACTGACAGATCACAAATGGTACTTTAAAGGCAGATGTACCTGAACTGAGTAGCTCAGGCTGCATTATAACAGATGTTTGTTTCCCAAGAGAACAGATGGGACAAGAGTGTCAACTTAGGTGATGCTAAGTTATCTGTCATTAATTCTGTTGTCATGCTTTGAGGTTGTATGATCAGTGCACTGACTTAGGGACTGTTATTTTAAGGGAATTTAATCATGACAAGAGGTGATCAAGAACCTAAAAATAGTTAGGACTACACAATACAGAGGTATGCATAACTTCTGCTAATTAACCTTCCCTCTTTTTTTTCCCCAAGAACCATAGAATTTTATTAAGTAGGGCTCCGCATGAGAAGGTACATGTTGAAGTAGTACTCAAGTCATTGCAATTCCGCAGATGGAAGGCAACAGTTTAACTTTTAGCACAAACACTTTACTTGCCCTGCAACACACTATTTGAGTTACTTAAGCTGTTGCAGAACTATAGCCTTACACTACTTCTATCACTGCTAACCCAAGCTTTGCCCATACAACCAGTTTCTTACTCCTCTATACGGAAGCCCTACTAGTTTTGCCATAAGTTAAATCGGAGACAAACTCACTTAGGAAACAGTGTCACCAGTTTTCAGCTGGAACATCTTATAGTGACAGCACAGATTTGACACGAGGTTGGTAAAAACCTCACCTGCTCAGAATGATCAACTAATACTGCTATCAAATTTAAGGGTTTGATGAGGATTTGAAGTCCAAATACCTATTATCACTGAAAAAGTAATGTTCCCACAATCATGTATTACAGTTTCAGAGTTCAAATCTGAAAAAGGTCATGTCACTTAATATCTTTCAGTAATTTTGTTTATACGGTAGAGATCAGTACTGTGTTTTACCACAACAGTTCTGGTGCATGTTTGTAGCCTGTCACATCAGATGGGAAGCAACTTACACCTAATTCTCTGGTGGCCTTTGAATAACCTTGCTAGAACTTCAGTAGACTGATAAAGTCAGCCTTCAAAAGAAGGCTGGTAGGACATACACTTCTACTAAACTCACAAATATGGTATGTATTGCTCTTGCTGAAAACACAAGATTCCCATTTACACACATACCACAGATTATCTTGACATTTACAACTCCCACGGAGGTAACAACTGTCCAGTACCTTTTGAAAAGAGTCTTCATCTGTTATATCATATACTAGAATGGCACCATTAGAATCCCTGTAGTAGATCGGCCCCAATGCATGAAATCTTTCTTGACCAGCTGTATCCTGCATTCAATACACACTTGTTAGGATTTAAGACAAAGCAAACAATGCTTCAAGAAACAACAAAGACTTCAAAATTTTACTTTTATTAAGAAGTGCCTAACATTTGAGTTCTAATATGCCCAAGTAATTTTTCAGCAAAACAGAATATTTAGCTAGGGGAGGGGAAAATAGGAAAGTAAACATACCCATATTGCAAGGTTTACTCTTTTTCCACCAATATTTAGCTTCTTTGTAAGAAAAGATGCCTGGAAAGCAAAACAAATGAGTTAAGTTTTACACACAAATGCCTCATTTGACTTCAGATTAATTTACTAATAAAAACATCTGAATCAATAAGAGACAGATTTCTAGATCAAAATACTCTTTAAGCCAGAAGACTGAGTCAATATTAAGCCAGTTAGTCATTTTACTACAGTTTGCCAGGAGTCTGTTCTAAATAAATTTGGCTTAAGCCAATCATTTACTACATCTTTTTGCTGTTGTTTTGAATGATTTGGGGAGGATAAGAGTTGTGTGTAAAGACTCTGAATTCACAACACTGGTAAGTCCAAGCTGACCTCAAAGCATTTCACAAGAGTGCACAAACTTTGGGTAGGAACCAGCCTAACTGGATTTTTTATTTGGAGGAATGAGACCAAGTAATTCACTATCACTGAGCTACTAAACCAAAGTAAAACAGTTTTTCACTAAAAGTCTCAGAATACTGGTATTCTGCACATTTCCTTGCCTGTATCTGTTCCTTTTGCTGAAGTGAGCCCACAGCTCTCCCCATCTGTTTTCGGAGGCTTTTGGGGGAGCAATGGTATGGTATGGATCATGTTTACCCCCCCCACCCCAATTGTTCACCAAGGCTCAGCAATGCTTTTCAGCTGACACAAAAGCAAGCTACAGGATAAGAAAAGCCCCAGAATAAGCATTCAAACTTTTCTGAAAGTTCTACTACACTACCTTCTGAAAATGTTTTACAGGACCAGAGCATATCACAAGGTTTGTCCAATTTCCGCAGCCCAAGAGTATATCTGCTCTCCAAGCCTGCACAATCTACATTTTTAAACACCACCTCTGTTACAAAACGTATAATTCAGTGGGTAAAAAGGGACATAATTTAATACAAGTTTAATAGGCTAGAACAGGGTCTGAAGGAGTCAATGCATTTGGAACCTGCTCACACTGCTCTGCAAACTAGCAGTGTCAGGTTATCATCATACAAATCAGTTCCCAAGGGTTTCTGACTTTTGCCTTAAATTATACTCAGTTTTCCTTTCAGCTTCACCTCAACTTGCATTTGGCTACAAACAAAAACTCAGGGTATTTTAACAGTACATTCATCCCAGATGATTTTAGGCTGGACTGCAACAGCTTAACATGAGCTCTGTATCAGCACTGACCAGACACTGATCTAATTCATGTGCAGGTAGCAAACGCCATAGACCACATCAGCTGCTCGATCCAGCTTACTGTTTATCTACACATGAAACCAGTACACTCATGTACTGGTAGTTCATTTTACATGGCAGTTCAATTTACACCAGCCTAAACTGCCATCAAGGTGCCTCTCTGGAGTGCAGCCTGTATTACAGTTAAAGTCATCCAACAGTCAGCTGCTAGAGTGGGTCCTGGTCTTCAGCTACTTCCCCAGCATCAAGTCTGGTATCTGTATGACCTAAGGTGAGATGATTCACAAAACTTCTCTTTTCAAAGTAAATCGTATGTTCCTCTAAAGCTTTCCATGAAGTCTGGTAAAAAGAACAGGTAAAGAGGAGGAAGACTAGAGGAACAAAAAACACTTAAAACTTTCCAAAAGCAGACAGCAAAGAACTAATCATTATAGCCACTGTATTAGACACAACTAAAGCATTAATGCTACCCCTGCAGTGTACAGTGAGGAGGCATTAAGTCAGCTTCAGAAAAAGCTCTAGACAGCATGTTAAAAGTATTTAACACTCCAGCCAACTCGTAACAAATATCTTAACAGCAAAGTTAACAAACAGATCTTACACATCAGGAAAACTTTAGTTCTTTAATCAGTAACTCTGAGAAGTTTATGCCTTTCAGCTAGCTGCCCCTTAAAAATTTTCTTATCAGTGCCTAGTCTTCATATCTTGATTTGTTCTACTACACCACAGTTTAAAAGCCAAAAGCTTTGAGGTGACTTCAGAAGTTCTGATCCATCAACTCTTGGGCCATATTAAGAGAAGATATGGTTAGACACAATGAATCCAGCTTGCCTAACACTGCTGTATTGCACTACTTCATATTCTACTGTGAATCTCAAACAAAAAGCTCTTGAGCACTGTTTGCTTTTGTCACAATACTGATAATCAAACCTGTTCAGTTGATACGAATTTCACCTAAGTGACCAAGAATCGCATTTCTGGACCAAAAGGCAGAAAAGTCCTTCACAGAAACAGAGTTTATATTAACAAAAGAAAACCCCAAACCAAAACCAAATCACACAGAACTCTGTATCCATAAAGTTTATGGTTTCATGGCTATAGACATTAGCCCAATTAATATCACAAATATCTATGGGGATAAGCCTACTTGAATATTTGCTCTGTCAGATAAAGGTAAGTATCACCAGTCCTTCAGGTCATCACAGCTTTTGATAGCAATACTGTCTTTTTTGCACAAAGTATTTCCTTTGCTATATACCCAAGTATTAGAAGACCCATACATTCAAGTAAGGCTTTTTTAGTATCTTCTGAACAAAACAAAAAAAACAAAAAAACAAAACCAAAGACTAGGGCAAGAGTATTTAGTACTGGGCTACTGTACTTGCTCTCTGTGTTAAAACTTGATGAATTTGTACCGATCAAGTATTAGCCTAAAGTCTTAGGCCCTTAACCAAAATAAGGAGTGACAATCCTGTATCAGTTAACCAGATTACAAGCAAATTTGCCTAAAAACTTTGTCAGACAACAGGACTGGAACCCAGTTTGAAGTAGTCATGGTTAGTAATGAACAGAAGGCTTTGTGAACATGTTGCAAGAAACAGTCATTACTACATTACAGATTAAATGTTTCATTCTTCTTTACTGTGTTCATATACTTGAACACTGTCAGCAGATTCTGTTACTGAATTAATAGGTATGGGCAAGTTTGCTGTATTTACTATCAGTAAAGTTGGGTTTACAGCCCCAGTGACAAACCACCTAATATTTACCTAATAACACCACCCCACCCCCCCAACTTCCTTTTGTCTCATAGAAGAGCAAGGCTACTACTACTTGACCTTAGAAAGGAAAAAATAATCAGGTGGATTTACAACTCTGGATGAATAGTCAGTTCACCTGACTATTCAATCCAAATAATTGAATCAGGCAAACTGACTGAAACCACTGGGTGGGGGGGAACCCAAAATGGAAGGAAAAGCCTAACTCCTGCTTAGGGATAACTCAGGAGCTGGTTTGCAGGGAAAAAAAAAAAAAAGCTCCCAAGAGGTCAAAGCCTTTGAAATCCAGACAGTCTAGACAGCATTAGGTAATTACATATAGAAGAGGATTCAACATTTTTTCTAATCTCCCAAGAATTTACTAAATTGAGAGCCTACAGACTGAAGTCCAAGTTGTGTCTTGACTTAACAATCAGTAAGTCATAAATAAAACTTCATATTACTTTTATTACAATGATAATTCATTTTTGCTAGACCTTTCAAAACCCCATAAATATGTAAGACCACAGTTAATTCAAAGGTAAGTAAACTCAAAGAGCTCTTTGAAGCAAGGTACTAATTTTGGTATTTGGCTCTAGTGTCTTACGACTGGTTTGAAGACTACTTTCGCACTTAAAAGGATAACGCAATTAGAAGAGCTAAAATTCCATTGTCTTCATGTGCCTGTAGAAAGATTTTTTTAATTTTATTTTTTTAATTCTAAGAGCTCAGTTTCAAATGTCTATCAGGCCCTATTAGGAGTTGATAAAGGGGCATGAGTAGAACATAAGACAGACCCAGCTGGTAAAAATTCTCTTGAAAATCACTTTAGTGTATGTCACCTGCCGCTTGACTGCTTCATCTTCAGCAGAGGCAACCAAGGCATACAAACACTGCATCCAGCACTGAACCCCCTTTAATTGTCATCCCCTTGCTCCCAGCCCCAGCCATCTTAAGACAGCCAAAACAGCTTTTCCAGGTTATGCAAGTCCATCGCAGCAATCAGGATCCATATACCATCAGTGGATCTCTTGGGTTGGATATTTAACAGCGCACCACACATTTGAAAGATCAGCACACAGAAGCTCTATTGATCTTGAATAATTAACAAAGTGTCTACCCAAATTAAAAAAATTGCCAGGAGGTTTATTGGAGCAATTCCACCATAGTTCACTTGATACTAATTTATAGCTCAGAATTATTTTATGAAGACAAGACCACTGATCTCAATATTTCTGTCAATGGGAACCAAATTTAACTGTCCCATCAGATCTGAAAACACATTATGGATTGCATTAATTGCCTGCATGAACCCCTACCTTTTCTGCATCAGTTTGTTCACATTATTCTAGATAAATGTCAGCTTCTGTGAGTCAGTAGCTACCTTAATTTTAATTCCAATATGCAGGTTATCAATATCTTGATATGACATGATGCTAACACACACATGACTTAACACTAACATACCTACAGCAACACATCCCAACAGCCTCCTAATCTCAAAGGAACTTCCAGCTTACCATTTCCCTCTAGCTAGCATTTAGGGAAGAGGGGCACAGAGAAAAAGAGAAACAGCTCCCTTTCACTAAAAGCCATCTGTAACCAGCACGGAAAGAAACTCTCCTATTTAGTGAGTTTCACAGGGACACAGGTTAACTTCACAATGGAATAATACTTAAGTGTTAGAATTCAGATATGAAAGTACAGATATACATTAAAGATTCACACTGACCAATTTAAAGACTTCTTGAGCTCACCCCCATCACTGGGCTCATGTTGCAAGAAGCACCAGCCAACATCACTAAATAAGTTTCCAGAAGGCTACACTCTCACCACCCTTTTCCTTGTTGTCATATTGGAACTAAGCACTAAGCAACAGTTTCTCTTATTCTAAAAGAGAGAACACTGTATATGGAGAGCCTCTTGTCTCAATATTTAGTGATCTTTTCATGTGATTCATCACCATGTCTCCTTTGCTAAATCAGGAGCTAAGTATTTATCTAATTTTGGCTGTATTGGAACAAAATAATTTGGTACAGAACTCTGAACTGATGCCGTGAAACAAAGCCACCTTATCAGAGTAAGACTTTTATCTTAAGAAAAAGGATGTTTAGCAAAAATATCACTTCATTGGTTAAAAAATAAGATAAGGAGAAACTAGGATATCTGAAAAAAAGACTCTTTTAATTTGCTAGTGAAAAAACTTAGTCCAACGTTTTTCTGGAACTGTAAAATGCAGAAAAACAAGAATAATTAAGATATTTCACAACTCTATGTTATGTAAGGCAAGATTCTACAGCAACTCACACAGTATTTTACAATCAATAAGAAGTATATGTGGCTAAGGAGGCCAAGAACAAAAAAAAGCAAATGAGCCGAGAAACACAGTGGAGCCAGTTAAAAGATACAGGTAGCAACGAGAAACCTAATCACAGTGGAGAACCAAAATTCCTATATCAGGTGTGGGCATGTGCTTCCACTCTATAGGCACAAGCACACACACCCCTCTCCAGAGAGTCAAAACCCAAAGCTTTACAGCCACAGTATCTAGCAATGTTTTCCTGCCAGCACTTTGAACATACTTAAAGGTCTGTTTTCCAACATTTGTGATCCAAGTCTGTATTCCAATTTTAGATTTTCCACTACAGATTTAAAGAACATGGTTAACAAAAACAAACAACTCACCCCCTTAAAAAGGCACACAAAACCACCTACAAACTACAGACTTGCATTAACATGACAAACTACTCAGTTCTTCTCTTTTTATACAGAATACGAGAAACCAGGTATACCCAATCATTTTTATGGCCTTTAAGCAACTGTTTGCTCCATGCTACACTTCAGCTGTAGTTGTAATTTTTATGGGCTACCAGTCCTTTCTATAGCACAACAAATATCAGTTACCTCTATGACAATCAGAGCTACAATCAGCTTTCCATAATGCCACACCATGCCTAATAAACCTATGAACAGATTCATCCAACAGCAAAGTATGAACATAGGTAACAAAGCTTCAGAACATGTTAATTTTTTAACTCGCTATAGCAAAGATGTGTTTATGTGTTTATGAAATATTCGCTGTATTGTTTCCAGCACACCTCTAATGTTCCTTTGCTTTTTAAGGGAAAGTTTCATTATTAAATACCCACGAGTTTCCCCGAGAAATAGCACACAACTACCCTAAGTCTCTCTTTTGGCATTACCTACTATTTGTTTTCTACTTTACAGATCCCCAAAAGTGTTCAAAAGCTACTAGTGGCCCACACGGTGGCAAGGCTTGTTTCTTTATTTACAAAACAAATAAAATACCAAGAGCAATAAACATTATAGTGCTAAAACCACACTTTCATATACATACAACTGCTAAGAAAGATGCTGTGCAACTAGTGTAACTACAAATAAAGGAGTATAATAGCAGAGACATCCTGAAAGACTTAAACTTCACACTGTGGGTTGTATGGTAAAACATGTTTTCCGAGACCATGTACAATATAAGCATTTTATTCTCTACCATGGCATACACACCACTCAGCTAGCAGGTAACGAAAAAACATTACTTTCAAGCAGACACCCTGCCACATTTTTAGTTCTTTATAAATTAGCAGAGCAAGAATCAGGCCAAATTCGTGCAGCTAATGCGACAAGCAAGCCTTAAGAATCTTTCCTGTTATTAGATCATAAGCTCTAATCTCATAACCCATTTGGTAAAAGCTGTTCTCTTTAAACAGTAGCATTTAGGTAGCCCAAGTATTCAGATCCGAGAACATGAAAAAGACTGCAATTAACAGAAATGCAGCACATATGAAGCACTTAGTCATCAGTCCTATACCAATGACTACAATAACACTACTTTCAAATCATACTTCCGAAAATTCAAATGAAAACATTCACGTACATAATTGGAAAAAAAACCCCGAGCAATTAGTACTCAGAACAGAAACAGTATCGAAAGCTTAAGTCTGAGGAGTAAACAGCACCAAGGAAATTAGCTTCCAGCAAACTCAGCAGGGGACAGCCACCATTTAAAGCGCAGCAGTGATCACTCCGTCCACCGTTAAGCGGTAAACACCAAAACCCTAGTGCGGGTTTACGGACCAACCCTTCCCAGGCACTAAGGCAGAAAGGGCAGGCCGGTGAGCGCCGAACATAGCGACGTCGGGTCGGCTGGCACCGCCGAGCAGCCCTAGAAGGTGCGCAGAGCAAGAGCAGAAAAGCAATGAGCTCCTCCCCCCCACCTTGCCTCAGCCCGGTGGCTGTGGGCCGGGGCCCCCAGCCCGCCCCCAGCTCGGCCCGCACCTGCAGGGTGGTGATGTGCTTGTCGTTGAACTTGTTCTCGCAGTAGCGCAGCACCAGAGAGGTTTTCCCCACGCAGCCCTCCCCGAGCAGCACCACCTTGAAAGAGAAGCTGCGGCCCCCGGCCGCCGCGCCAGCCCCCGCCGCCATCCGCGCCCCGCCGCCGAGTCCAGCCGGGCCGCCGCCGCCTCACATCAACGGTCTGCACCGCCGCCCACCGGGACGGGGAACCCGCGACGGAACAGGAGAAAGGCCCGAGGGACTGGAACGAGACAGGGGGCGATGGAAAGAAACCGCCGAACCCCAGGGAAAGCGGTGAGGAGGGAGGGGAAAGAACACCCAGAACCACAACGATGCCCCCAACCGACAGCCCCGCTCCCCCTAATGGCGTCTTCTTCCTCCTACGTCACGCGCCGCCCGGTCACGCGCACCACCCCGCCCGCCAATGGAAGGGGTGGACGCGACGGCGGAGAAAGGCCCCGCCCAAGGGCAGCTGACGGGAGGGGAGAGGAGCGGGGAGGGGCGGGGCCTCCATCAGAGCGAGGCGGAGCCGGGCGGCAGCTCCTCCTCCTCCTCCTCCTCCTCCTCGGGCGGCCCCGGTGGCCGGGGTGCGCTCGGTTCGTTTGTACACTGCTGCGTGGGTGCTTGCACGGCGGCGGGAGCAGTGGTGCGAGTAAGTGTACGTGCCTGACAGCAGCTCTGCGGGAGGCGGCCTCCTCGCTGGAGGGGCAGGCCGTCCGGCGCGGACGCGGCGGGTGAATCATCTTCCGACAGCGGCTGGATTTTTCCATTGCGCGTAAAGGGCAGCCGGAGCGGCGGCTGGGGCGAAAGCAGCTGCTAGCGGAGGCCGGGCTGGGTGGGAGGAGCTGCTCTTCAGGCCTGTCCCAGGAAACACCCTCAGGGGAGCGATGAGCGGAGCGCCAAGAGGGCAACGCCGCAAGCCTGAGCGTGACACACAGCTGTGCCATGCCATAGACTAACAGGACAGTTTGGGTTAGAAAGGACCTTAAAGCTCATCCAGTTCCAGCCTCCTGCCATGGCAGGGACACCTTCCACTAGACGAGGTTGCTCCAAGACCCTTCCAACCTGGCCTTGAACACTGCCAGGGATGGGGCAGCCACAGCTTCTCTGTGCAATCTGTGCCAGTGCCTCACCACCCTTACAGGGAAGAACTTCTTCCTAACGTCCAATATAAATCCTGCTGGTAGAGATAAAAACCCATGCAATATTTACAAGTGCATATGAATTTGCTTTTACATGTCATATTGAGGCTTTCTAATGCAGCAAATACATCTACCAAGCAACTCATAGAATAGAATCGTAGAAAGTTAGGGTTGGAAAGGACCTTAAGATCATCTATTTCCAACGCCCCTGCCATGGGCAGGGACACCTCACACTAACCCATGCTACCCAAGGCCTCGTCCAGCCTGGTCTTGAACACTGCCAGGGATGGAGCATTCACAACCTCCTTGGGCAACCCATTCCAGTGCCTCACCACCCTAACAGGAAAGAATTTCCTCCTTATATCCAGTCTAAACTTCCCCTGTTTAAGTTTTAACCCATTACCCTTTGTCCTGTCACTACAGGCCCTAACAAAGAGTCCTTGCCCAGCATCCCTATAGGCCCCCTTCAGATACTGGAAGGCTGCTATGAGGTCTCCACGCAGCCTTCTCTTCTCCAGGCTGAACAGTCCCAACTTTCTCAGCCTATCTTCATATGGGAGGTGCTCCAGTCCCCTGATCATCCTCATGGTCCTTTTCTGGACATGTTCCAACAGCTCCATGTCCTTTTTATGTTGAGGACACCAGAACTGCACACAATACCCCAAATGAGGGCTCAGGAGAGCAGAGCAGAGGGGCAGGATCACCTCCTTCGACCTGCTGGTCACACTCCTTTTGATGCAGCCCAGGATACGGCTGGCTTTCAGGGCTGCAAGTGCACACTGCTGGCTCATGTTCATTTTCTCATTGACCAGCACCCCCAAGTCCTTCTCTGCAGGGCTGCTCTGAATCTCCCTGTGAGCAGAGGCCAAATCCTCTAAAAACAGATTATAAACATAGCAAGCACGGGTTTTGTTCCAACTTCAGCGTCCCTGTTCATGTGAACTAAGTTATATGAGTCTCTAAATGTCTGCAAAAAACCTAGCCCATGATTAAGTGCTGTATGAGATGTAGGAGCAGGTGATGAATAAAGCACAAGAAAAATGCTCTGTTGAGTTCCATGACTATAAGGATCTGGTAGTGTTTCATTCATTCAAGAGCTAGGTAATTGCCTTGTAAAACTGGATATCATTCCTTAGTTAAAAGCAATCCTCACAAACCAATCTGAAGTGCTGCAGCTTAACTTCTCTCTACGGATCATTTAGTGGTAAGAAAAATAATGCTTATGGAAAGGCACCATAGTGCAATTTCCTTTTTATCTTGTCAAAGAGTATTAATGCTCTGTTGTGTGAGAAAGAGTAGAGGAAAGTACATAGAACAAAGATCAAATTTCCTGAAGCAAGAAGCTTCATTACTGGATAGTGTTATGTTCACATACAAAGTGGATTGGTTTTATTTTCTCAAGACATAAATACATATTTCTGTTTTATCCAGGTGTAAATAAAGGGAATAGGACAAGGGGAAAAAAAAAACCCAACACAATGCTAACACAGTTGTCAGGAGTATCTTCCTTTAAATAAATTCCCAGTTTTATTAGCACATAGGGGGTTTCAGTAAGTTACTATAAAACTGTCTTGCTGGAAAGCCATGCTTGTTTCTCCCAGTCATGCCTTCTGTGTACAGGCAGTAAAACTGACTGGCATGTTAGTTATTCTTCTCTCAGGCTGAATGGAAGGAGAAGGTAAGATCAGGCTCGGATTGATTAAGGTTGCTTGCCAGAAACAGTGGAAATCATTGCTCATGAGGAGGAGGTGCTTGCAGATCCCAGCAGGCTGAGGCTTTCCTGGATAGCTGGTGACAAGTGCATCTGCTGAAACACAGGACTGTATGGAAGGAAGTCTTGAAAACTGCTAGAGAAACAACTTCCTGTTCTTGTAGCTTTTTACTGTTTTCAACAAAAGCAGGTTCCGTACATATCTTCCAGAGAGAAAAAAGCTGAAGCTTAGAAAAGGGAAGAGGAGAGACATCCTCTGTGAAGTCTGTATGCTAAATGCACCTGTAAACACTGTTTTCCTAACAGAGAGCACAGCAAAGTGTAAGGCAGCAACTGAAGCTCAGTCCTGCAGACTGTTTCTCCAGGGACCCTCTGCTGTGGTGCAGTCAGAGGATGCATCTTCCCACTGACAGTTGGCTGCTGTGAATAACTGCTGTATTCTATCATTTCTGTTTTCCTCTCTCTCACCAGGAGCCTGTAATTACTGTTTTGTTGCATGAGAAGTCCTGTGTCTTCCAAAATAAGGCTGCCAATAGTAAATGAAATTAAAAGGCCCATCTGTCTGAGAACAGAAAATTCTGTCAGAGCTACCAGAAGCATCGCATTTCTCTATAATCTGATACCTATTACTTATTAAAATCTGCACGTTTAACCATCTGTGGAAGATATCAAGTTACTTTATTTTAATAGTGTTTACTTAATTTGTGAAGTGTGCATTTTATTTCAGCGTATTTGAGAAGATGATGCCTCTTTCATTTGTGTGCTTCCTCTTTTTACATAGCTTCCTAAAAATACTTCTACAGACCTCCTGTTTTAAATATGTTGCTGATGATATCTGCATGAAAAATGCCTTTTGAGGCATATTTTCTATTTCACAAATAAACTACAATACCCTATATGTTATTATACCAAACCAAATTGTGCCATAGTATCCATTGCCATTACTTTTTATTATTATAGTTACAAAAGTCTACTCCAGCTTTTTACTTCACAGGCAGCATCATCTCTGAAAGTGAAAATCAGATGCTTCTTTCAGCTTGCATTACTAAGTGTCCTTATAAAAGTATGAGATGTTTTAATTCCACTGTAAACTTAAATGCTTGTAGTAGCTGTATGGAGGAGATACCCTAGTTGGTCAAACCTACAACTTGAACACCTCCTGTGCCATTGGCAACACACAACTGATTTCTGGGATAATTGCAAGTTTCCTGTAAATTATAAAGGTGGCAGTTGTTTTGCAGATAATGTCAGTCTTATATTTGCATTTTTTCCCTTGGAATGTAGTTCTGAGCATAATACTGTTTCAGTAGAATGCTCTGATTTTGTCAGATTTACTTGGAAAATAAAAATAGAATGAAATTTCAACCAAATAAATATAGTTGTATAAGATCAAATGATTCCTTGAAACTGTATATATGTCCATAAAAGCAAGAAATCAGGAAAATAAAAAAACAAACAAAACCCAATCAAGTAAATAAAAAACAAACAAACAAAAAACCAACAACAACAAAAAAGGGCACAAAAAATAACAACAAGAACAAAACCCCAAAACACTTAAAGTTAGCAATACTGACTCAGTTCTTTCAGGAAAGAGAGATGCTCAGAATGAAATGTGTGCATTTGCCCTTCTGATGTGACTGATAAAAACACCTGTCTAGACAGAGAGACAATGAACACTGTTTTGCCAAATGGTAATCACAAGTAACATCAACCCATCAATCAAAAATAACGGTATCTAGGTTGAGATCAGTACTTTGGGTTGTGTAAATCTATGATAATTCAGTAAGCACATGTGAAGAAAATTCAATTAAGTGCAAAGATGCAGTTTCATCCAAAAATAAAAATGACTTTTCATGTTCTGAAAATGAAGAATAAAGATGAAGAGCAAAGCATGTGAACCTGGAAAGAACAATTAATTCAAGAAGAATCTTGACCCAGAGGGACTTTTCTGAGCATGCTTTACCCACTCACCACTGAGAGCCTCCATGTACCTGTGGGGATGTTCTTGACAGGTTCAGTAATGTCCTTAGAGGCTTTAATGTGGCATAAAATTTGTTTCTAATTTGTAGAAACAAGTAAAACATAGAATCTGATTTCTAGCTAAGAATCGGTGCCAGCAAAGGACAACCAATGTATTTTCTTGTCTAGAAAAAGGTGGTTATTTTTAAAAAGTTCAGTTCTCTGTGTTGAAAAGGAATTGTAAATGTCATCGCCCTTGGCATAAGTAGTTTTAAACCCTTTGCCACTTCAGATTATCTTTTTCGTGTATTCACAGCAGCACAGACAGCAATGCCAAATAGCATCCCCATGCGATCCTGATAGATCCACTCACTGACAAGCAGCATCCTGGACACGTGCTGGGAACAGCAAGCAGCATGCTGCTTCACCATTCATTTCTCCCCTGCTCTTGGC